GAGAATGGGAGGGTGACTGTATAACCCTTGATGAAAGGAAAGGATGAACTATAGCCCTAAGAAAGCTATCAAATATTTGCTGGACTGGTGGACAACTTCTTTCTTTCAGTTAGTCTCAGAGGTGCTACAAGATCTCTCTACATACTGATTCTACAGTCTAACACAGCTATATCTTTGAATGTTACCCTCTTGAACACACTCTGATCTTGCTTGGCCTCATGTGTTCCACTTTTCATCTATGAAATATTGGACGGTGTGTAAAGGGCTGTTCAGAATGCGAAACCTAGGAACTGACTGAACAAGGAAGGCATTAACGCTGAAGAATGACCAAGAACTCACACATGTGTAACCTTCCTTGACCCTACAGTTATCATCATTTATAAAAACAGAATAAAAACCTGGAAAACATCTGAATGTAATTTTGAACTGTGTTTGAGTTAAAAACTGCAAGGCCAAGCATGCCGAAGACTAACACAAAAAGAAGGCTCAAAACTTTCTCCATGTATCACTTGGAGACACGACGATTGAGCAGCACACACTAGATCTCTGTGAAGCGCCTGGGACAGCCAATACTGCCAATGGTTTCTTTGCTTAGTCTCCAGTTGGTGGATAATTTGTCATCTGATGTTTCCTTCTCCCTTCCCTTTCCCCCCACTTCCTGAATGGCAGCAGCCGCTCCCATAAGCCAAACAGAGTCCTGGAGAGCCGGCAGCTGACCTGCTGCCTCCCCACAACCAAAAGACAGCAAAGGTGTCAAATGCTGCCAGTTTTTCTATGAAAAAGAGGAAAGTGTGAGAGGATTCCAGAAGTAACAAGAAGAGGACAGGGAGTACATTTCTCCAAGAGGCTTCCAGGCTGAGAGCTCTGGCACCATGGGAGGTCCAGAGTACTATGATTGCTAAGCTTCTTGCTCTGCAAAAGATGGCAAGACAGAACCAGCAAGTAGGGAATGTAAGAAAAGTGAAAGACTATCTAACCAGATAAGAGTCGCTCATGACGGACATGGGTGATCCTTGCCCTGCTACTCTGTGGATCACCCATGTCTAGCTATCATGAATATTGGAAATAATCTTAGCAAGAGATTTGTTCTTCCCAGTGGAACAAGCCAAGAGGCAGTTATCTGTCTGTTAATATGAGCATACATTATTATGTGAGCCACACAGGGCATGATTTACCAATAAAAATAACGAGGTGGTGAAGATAACGTTGTTGTTGTATGCCTTCAAGTCATTTCCAACTTATGGTAACCCTAAGGTGACCCTATCATGGGGTTTTCTTGACAAGATTTGTTCAGAGGAGGTTTACCATTGCCTTCTCCTGAGGCTGAGAGCATGTGACTTGCTCAAGGTCACCCTTGGGTTTCATGGTCAAGCTGGGAATCAAACCCTGGTTTCCAGAGTCATAATACAACACTCAAACCACTAAGCCACATGACCTTGGGCAAATCACATCATCTCAGCCTCAGGGAAAGACAATGGCAAACCTCTGAACAAATTTTGCCAAGACAGGGACACCATAAGACAAAAATGACTTGAAGGCACACAACGATAACAACAACAAAGATAACATTATAGCGGGATATTGTTGTGATCCTAGATGCTTGCAGTTCATGATCCAAACAGAAGGGGCTCAACCAGCACTTTGGAGGTGAGCCCCCTTGGCACACACCACCCATGACCCATGGAGGGCCTCTGCCTCCAACTTTGACTTTTGCCTAGTGGAATGGTATAAGTCAGGGGTAGGCAACCTTTTTGAGCCGGGGGGCCGGGTTGCTATCCCTCAGACAATTGGGGGGCCGAAGCAATAAATAAATAAATAATATGCATGCACACTCTCTCAGCCCCAGAAAAGCCATGATGGCAAAACCCCTGTGGAGATTTTGTCAAGAAAACCCCAAGAACAAGCAATAACAACAATAATCAATATCATCATGACGGGCAGCAGCGGGGGGCGGCGGGGGCAGGACCAGCCTGGGGCCAGTCCAAAGGTCTTGGGGGGGCCGCATACGGGCCGTAGGTTGCCTACCCCTGGTATAAGTCAATCATTTTTACAATTCCATCCTGCAGCCAGTTATAGCTACCATAGCAGTCCTATACAATTTGTGACCTACCAAGCTGAACACAGTCCTCCTGTTTTTCCTGCATGTTTGAAATTATACAGAGGAAGAATAGAAGGAGATTGTCCAGTGCCTAGTAGGCCACAGCATGTGAATGGCCAGATACATTTGGCTTAGATGGGGTTCTCATCTGATCTAAGATCTCTCTATCTTCCATCTCCCTTAGTTCCAAGATTAGCACAACATACACGAGGGCCTTCTACATTCCTCACTCAGGACTACACCACAAAACTGGAAGGAAAGTAAACAGACAAATTCTGAATGGAATAACACTGCATGGTACTTTACTTGCCTCTCACCAAACATATCACTCCAGCTGATGCTGCAGGTCCACTAGTATGCTATGCTGTATACCACTCAGGTGCAAGAGTGCCCTTTGGCATGTGTACGTACTGTAATATCCATGTGATGATATCTGCATTCAATGTAGTCTTTTAGTTTATCATTCCAGTCAGTTTCATCATAATTTTAGTCATGAATGCGGACTTGGTGAATATTGTCACCCTTTGCCTTGGCTTTGCATTACAGCATGTGTTTCCTTCTAGTCTAGTCTACTTAATAGTCATGATGATTCAACTAAGGTGTCTCTAACAGACCTATACAAAAAGATTTTGTTGCATCTTTGAGACTAACTAAAACAAAGAAGTTGGTAGCATGAGCTTTCATAGTCTTGAGCCTGTTTGGACCAAGTAGGCTCAAGTCTGTGAAAGCTCAGGCTACCAACCTCTTTCAGTTAGTCTCAAAGGTGCTACAAGATCCTTTTGCATACTGATTTTCCAGACTAGCACACTTATGTCTTTGAATTCTAACCCTATTTATTTTATTTTATTTTATTTTATTTTATTTTATTTTATTAGGGCTCCTGAGGTGATGCACAACAAATAAAAGCAATGAAAACAGTACTAAGAAACATTTTAAAAACAATTAAAAACTTTTAAAAAACTTTTTTAAACAGTCTGAAAACTACCTTAAACTATACCTTTTAAAAAAACTATTAAAATAGCATTTTTATACATCAAAGGCCATGTGGAACAGCAATGTTTTAGCTGCCCAGCAGAAGCTCAAAACAGATGGGCAAGGACTACCATAGTCAAGGTGCTGCTACCAAGAAAGACCTTTTGTGTGTGCATACCAACATTAACCTCATTGGGACATGCAGCAGGGCTTCTGCTGAGTATTTCAAATTTCAGACAGGCTTTTTTCTCTCTGCCTGTCAGGATGTATGTAAACTAACCTTATATGTAAACAGATAGCTTATTGTCTGAGGTAGATGTTCTGTTCTTGCCCCACAGTCAAATAATTTGCTGGAATGTTAAGAAAACAGGGTATCATCTGATTGATACATTAATTCTATGTTTGCAGGGTTTGTGCTCTAAAATTGAAAGTGTGAACTCAGAAATCAAATGCAATGGCAAACCCAACCCCAGTAGGCTTTAGAGATGTCCTTTGTTACCATAGGATTGTACTCCGTCACCCAATGGAGTTCATTGACCCGGACAAAGCGACTCAGCTTGTTGGCATCAAGTCCTTCAGCATCTCCAGTTTCCAAATCTTGCCTTTTGTTGTCCACCTGAAATAAAACAAATAGTCTCCCTGATGTTGCTTTTCTCTAGTCATTGCCCCCTATAACGCTCAGAAAATTAAAATAATGCACTGAACAAGGAAAAGTCTTTGGGGCTCAACACATTGTTTGCATTTATATCACCATCACCATTATCTAGGTGCCATACATTGCTCTCCTTTACCACGACCTCGTTTTAGCTTAATGATGATCTTGTACAAATAAGTAGCCCAAGGTTAATCAGTGAGTTCCATGGTTCTGATGGGATTAGAACCTGAACCTCCCAACTCTCACTCTTGTCTAGCCACTACACCACATTCTTATTATTTATATCACATAAACCCTTTTTTGAAGATATAAACCCTAACTACACTACAAGTTTCTGAAGCTGCACTCCTCCTGCACAAGTTAGGTTTCCATGTACCACTGAACCAGGGTGGCTCTGCAGGAAGGTGCTGCCAACAGTTATTTACCTTGACCCTGCCTAACTTCCAAGATCAGATAGGATCCAGTCCCTTAGCTTTCTACATATCAGACA